CAGCAGCGGTTTTATGGGCTCACGTCCCGAAATCGTTTTCTTGTGCATAGATTACTTTTCGTATTCATAGATTTGACGAAATAGTGGCATCCGAACGAACTTTACGTTCTTTGACCGTACGTCTGTCTGCACGTCAAAGCTTTCTGACGTACAGTCAGAGACAATAGATGTACAATCAGCATCGCCACCAAGACATCTTGATGGCATTTCGCGGCGGCCGACTGCCACCAGGAAACCATCAGAAAGCCGACAGGTGGAGTCTGACTGGAGTTTGACTGTCGGTCAGAGTAACTTGTTGGCCAATCAGACATGCTTAACGTACAGTCAGGCACAGTCAGCGGTCCACTAGAAAACATTGACTGCCAAACAGGGTTACATTGATGGATTTTTCCTTCGGGCGGCTCTGTTGAAGTCCGGCCATTCCGCATGTAGTTATGGCGATTTCGAGTGGTCAATCACCGGCGAGACCGAGCCGGCGGAACCGGCAACCAGAAACGCGCCGGCGGCACACCACGTGACCCTCACCACCCGAACACCAAACGCCAGACGGTGGCAGTTTACTTCGCCTCTTGCACGCGCGACAGCGCTAGCGAGGTCGCCACCTATTTCCCAACGCCTTGGATTGACTCGAGTAGTGGCTGCAGAAGTGACTTCAGATCAGTTTCGTTTTTTCGTCCATTTTTTCTCACTGACCTTCTCTCCCATTTCGGAAGTGACGACACCGGATACAGTCTGGCGCCTGCCCGCCCGGCCGTTTGGAGCTCGGGCGGTAAAAGCGCCGGAAAGTTGCCGGTGCTTGCCGGAGAACCACCACCCGAACGGTGCGCGTCGGCCGGAAACTGACCACGCGAACCCTATTGCCGGCTTTCCGGCAAAATAAGTTGCCGGCGACTGACCACCCGAATTCGCCATTAGTGAAAGTTTTGATCTCCAGACACTTCGCTTGGAACACTCCGGGTTTCCTTCGGTTTTAATACAGGGAGTTGCGGAGTCCCTTGTAATGAGGTTGAAATGCTCTTCCGTTGTACCTAAGAGGAAACCAAAGAATTTTGTAGTGCTACCTTATATTCATAAGGTGTCGCACAATCTGAAAAGGATAGCATCAAAGTTCGACGTGGACATTGTCTTCACAGCCCCGTGCAGATTGTCAAAATTGTGCGCAATGGTGAGCGGGCCGAAAGTGGAGAAACCTGTTTGTAGCAAGAAACACGTGACAAAGTTTGTACCTTGCAAGGTACAAATTTTGTCACGTGTTTCTTGCTACCTTAGTGGCACATGTGCCACTGAGGTGGTTTACAGGATTCCTCTAACGTGTGGCCGTGTTTACATAGGGCAGACGGGACGTTGCTTAAATGATCGACTTCGAGAGCATGCGGCTTCTTTTGGCAACAATTACGGTTCCCACTTACCGGGGCATTGTAGAACTTGTGGTTGTTCCCCCAAGCTGGACGGTGTGAAGGTGGAGGGACGAAACAAAGGAAGGAGGGAACGAGAGTTGCTGGAGGCAGCGAAAATACGTGATTGTGACAAAGACGTTTGCATATGCGTCGCATCGGTGTATATGCAGCAGAAAGAGTACAGTTTCATTAACACTATCTAACTTGACAATATTAACGCGGCATTTTTTCTATTCTTTTCTCGTTCGGATTGTGCGGCGGGGTGATGTAGCTGTTTTGCTGACTTTTTGGAACAGGCGGTGGGCGGTATGATTGGCGGTACGCCCTGTCTCTGTTGAACGAGACTAAGCGCGTGCATGGCGATAGCAAAGTTGGAAGCTTTCAATAAAGTTTAGTTGCCAGTTAGCGTTTGTCCTGTGTGCTTCTTCGTCTTTTTGTCCCGTCTCTTTTGCGCTGTATTTAATATGAATCTCCAATGAACGATTGTTCTGATTGCTTGTCGGAAAAGCGAACTCGACATCAGCTTCCTCGGGTACATTTAACGTCAGATGAACAACGGCCTGGCGTTCGTGATACGGCTTCATTAAGTTGGAATGATAAGTTCGCACCTCCTTGCGCTTTCCCTGCATTTTAAGAGCGTAGTTGGTGTCAGACAACTTCTCGAGAACCTCTGCAGGCCCCTCCCACTGAACATCCCATTTGTTTTTCTTCGAGGCTGCTAGCAGCATTACCTTGTCCCCTGCCGAAAACGTGCGCTGACGGGCCGTCCGGTCATAGTACAACTTAGCTCGGGCCTGAGCTGCCTGCATATTTCTCTCCACAAGTCCCCTACAGCACTGAAGCCGTTCAAGCAAGCCTAAGACGTACTCGACAACAGTGGGATCCTCGCCGCGCCCTTCCCAAGCCTCTCGCAACATTCGAAGTGGGGACCTCAGGGACCTCCCGTACACAAGCTCGGCAGGGTTGAACCCAGTGGTTTCGTGTGGAACGGAGCGCAAAGCAAACATAGTTGCGGGCAGGCAAGCTTTCCAATATCTGCTATGCTCGTAGCACAAAGCCCGCAGCACTTGCTTTAGGACTGAGTGCCACGCCTCGACGCTGTTGCTCTGTGGGTGACGAACGGAGCTGTGCACGATACGAATGCCGCACTTCTGAAGGAACGTCGTGGTCAAGGCGCTGGTAAAAACACTTTCCTGGTCACTCTGCAACTCAGCAGGGAATCCAACGCGGGAAAACACTGACAACAATCCGTCCACGATTCCAACGGAGTTCAATTCCTTCAATGGCACCACTTCAGGAAATTTTTCGCCGGACAAATCATTGTCAGGATATACCAATACCCAGAGTGGTTCACCGGGAGCGGTCCCACAACGTCCACAACCAGGCGGCGGAAGGGCTCACTTATCAGCGGTACCAGCCTCATAGGGGCCTTCCTCTGATCCTTAGGCTTTCCAACTCTCTGACACGTGTCGCAGGTCCGCACGAATCGCTCGACATCCTTGAAACAGCCGGGCCAGTAAAACTCGCGCAAAAGCCTGTCCTTTGTCTTATTGATGCCCAGATGGCACGACCACCCGCCTCCGCGAGTCAAGGAAAGCAGTTCGTCCCGGTACTTGCTCGGCACTACCAGCTGATCAAAGTGCACCCCCCTTGAGTCTCTGTACCGCCGATACAGGACTCCCGCGCGACACTGAAATGTTGCATTTCTCTTAGAGAGACCATCTTTAATATGATTGTTCAAAATCTTAAGCGATGGGTCACGTGCCTGTTCCGCCAACAGCGTTTCTGCACTCACTTTCAGCAGGCCTGAAAGACCAGAGCAGTGCGGCGGAACCAGAGATGTCATTGATTCAAGCGTTTCATCTGGACAATTAGGCATAGTCTCTTCTGCCTCGTGAACGGCACACAGATCTAACTGCGGCTCCGGCGCAGCCGGCTCCCCCATGTCCTGCGCCCCAACTGTGCCTGTATCTTATGAATCGTTACAAAGACCTCCGTCCGCGCACGTCTTTTGCGCTGCGAGTTCACGAACCTTGGATCGGGTAAGTGCATGGACGGTTTCCTCGCAAAATTTTAAACCCTTGTCTCTCAGCATTCGATCTGACCGGTTGGAAAACAAATAGGGATGCCTCTTGGAAAGGTTTTGCAACACCGCTGCCTCTGTGCACAACATCCCGAACGGCCCCTCTACCTTGACACGGGCGATAGGCAGGCAGACACTGCTCTCCTCCACGACCTGCCTAATCCAGGCGCACTCTCCAGTGAAATCATTCTCTCCGACGTACTCAGGTCTAATGATATCCATCTTCGCCGCAGAATCTCTGAGAACTCTGCATACTTTTCCATTAACAAGCAAGTCATGGAGGTAGGGCTCGAGAAGGCGCGCGTTCTCGTCATCGTCATCAACGAAGGTAAAAACCACCTTCGGTTTTCGGCAACCCGCACTGATAGGTCCGGGCTCCTGACAGCGAAAACAGACTAAAGGTTTTCTTGCTTCTAACGCCCTTTTTTTCCCAAAATCTGTCCTCCCTTCGCTCTCTTTCTTATCGGACATCTCCCCACTTTTCTCACTCTTTTGTCCTTGCGACCCGGCATTTTCTTTTCCGTGCGCACCAACTTTCTTGGAAGGCTCCCCGCCTGCGTTTGCCCCGAGACGAACCTGGCTTCTCTCAGCATCGCGCCTTAAAGCAAATTCTTCTGCCAGGTCGGCGGCTCGCTCCAACGTTTTAACCCCCGGTCTGTCCTGCACCCACAGGCGGGTTTCCTCCGTCAAGCAGTTATAAACAGTTCGAGACCGATACACTCGACCACCTTGTCGTGGTCTCCCAAAGCTTCCTCTCCTTTCAGCCACTCTACGAGATTGGATTTCAGGTTGTAAGCGAATTCGGAGAAGGAATCATCAGACTTCTTTCTCTCAGTGCGAAATCGGCGACGGAAGGCGTCGGCGGAAAGGCGGTACTTCTTCAGGAGAGCCGATTTGACCTTGTCATAATCGTCTGCCTCCGCTCTTTCCAGCCGAGCCACCACGTCGGCGGCCTCGCACGGCAGAACTGTCAAGAGCCATTGCGGCCAGGTGTCGCGCGAATAGTCCATCTTCTCACATGTTCTTTCGAAATTTACAAGAAACAAGCCAATATCTTCTTTAATTTTAAAGGGCTGTAGGAGGTCTTTCATTTTCAGCCGCGGTGTAGCCTGACCAACAATAGAGCTCGGTGTCTCTCGGCCTGCACGCTCTGCCTCCACCTGGGCTATCTGAAACTCTAACTTTTTCCGTTCCAGCTCCCTTTCCTCTGTTTCTCTGCAATAAAGACGCTCTCTCTCTCTTTCTTGTCTTTCCTCCTCTTTCTTTTCTCTTTCCTCCTCTTTCTTAATCCTTTCCTCGATTAGCTCCCAGCACTCCCAAAGCTCCACGTCGTCGGCACCACTCGCCCGAATAGCCTCGATTATGAAAGGTTTTCTCTGGACTCCCCCCAAATCGAGCCCCAATCCACGTTTTGCGAAAATACGGAGTGCGCATGCGCGGTATCTCTGCGCGCCGGACGCCCGGGTTCGAGGGTATGTTGGGAGAGACGACAAGCTAGCGAAGCGTGAGACCATAGCAAGACTACGCGACTACGCTACGATTTCGCTGTCGCATTCCGCGGGATGCCGACGAGCTGCGTGGCCTTTGGCTGCCGGAGTTGGCACCGGCCAGGAGACAAGAAAAGCTATTTTCGATTCCCTTCGAAGAAACTGTTCCCTCATCGAAGAGCGGCCTGGATCCGAGCAGTGAAGCGAGTGCTCCCGTCAGACCCAAACAAGGCTTGGGAGCCAAGTAAGGAGTCGCGAATATGCGAGGATCACTTCGTAACAGGTAAGTCACCTTCATCGTACTTTCGAGAAGCACCGGAAATGTAACACTTCCACTTTATAAAACAGGGGAACCATCACTGGACAACAGCCACCCTGACTACGTGCCGACTGTATTCACTTACGTGAAGAACCGGCCGTCGGTCCTCGGCCGCTACGAACGGTGGAAACATCGTTTGTCGACGGGGGGTACGTACTACGTCGTGTTTAGTAATCTCGTGCTGCCTCTTCAGCATGCTCGCACGATTTGACTTGTTGACCGGGCTACGGGTACTGGTTTCGTAACATCCGCTGTTGATGGGGACGGCGTTGGTAGCTGCCAGCGTCCGCGCCGGCGGCAGTGCATACATCGTGAGCTCAGCTTATCACCACGCTGCGCGACTACCATGTCAGATCGCCGTCAAGTTTCGAGCGTAATACAGTTGATGCGTGTGTATATGAGCCTGCTGGTGCTTCCCCAGGTTTCTTGTTTCCTATGCATTTTTTTCACTGCACTAGAGAAGTAGCTCATGCAGACCAGTTTGCCACTGCCTTCCCTCTTTTCATTGCATGATGTCTAAGCGTTATGATTAGAGAGGAAAAATTATGACACTGTGTAGAGTCGTCAGATTTATAAATGGTCATAGCTAGGTGGAGATTTTTAGTGCACGTCATAAGATTTCCAAGTAGTGGAAATTATTCTCGTCCAACGCTGAGACGTGCCAGATGCCCTACGTTTGTTTGGCATCTACTACCCCGAGATTTACATTTTGCAGGTTTCAATAATAGTATGCATTGGTTATGCAGCACCAATATTGTGTGTTGCGATTGTGACCCTGCAGCTGCTGTCAAAAAAAGGATTGCGGCCCAAATAACCGCTCCAGTTCCTGCAAGCACTCAACATGGGGCACCTCAGCCAGCAGCCGGTTCTTCTCCAGCTGCAGCCCGACCTTCCGCAGCTGCAGCCAGACCTTCCACAGCTGCAGCTGGACTTTCCACAGCTGCAGCCAGACCTTCCCCAGCTGCAGCCGGACCTTCCGCAGCTGCAGCCAGACCTTCTGCGGCTGCAGCCAGACCTTCCGCGTCTGCAGCACGACCTTCTGCGGCTGCAGCCAGACCTTCTGCGGCTGCAGCCAGACCTTCTGCGGCTGCAGCCAGACCTTCCGCAGCTGCAGCCAGACCTTCCGCAGCTGCAGCTAGACCTTCTGCGGCTGCTGCCGGACATTCCGCGTCTGCAGCCAGACATTCCGCGCCTGCAGCCATACATTCCGCGCCTGCAGCCATACATTCCACGTCTGCAGCCAGACCTTCCGCAGCTGCAGCTAGACCGTCTGCAGCTGCAGTCAGACCTTCTGCGGCTGCAGCCAGACCTTCCGCAGCTGCAGCTAGACCTTCTGCAGCTGCTGCCGGACCTTCCGCGGCTGCAACCAGACCTTGCGTAGCTGCGGCTCGACCTTCAGCTACAGCCGGGCCTTCGACAGCAGCAGCAGCTGGGCCTTCCAGAGCAGCAATCCAACTTGTGGCACAAGCAAGAGCATCCCTGGTCGTTGGTCCCCTTACAGGAGAGACCAGCATCCCGGAACATTGTCCGCCCCTCCTGGACAATGGGCATGGAGCCCAGACAAGCACTCCATGTGTCCAGCAAACCATCGAAGGTGCTCATGCTTGCTGTTACTTGTGCAGCAGGCAGCTGTCACAGTTCATGTCGCTAAATCATTCGGCATAACTGCTAATATACATACCTGCATGGTTTGTAGTTTTGAACGAAGGAACCTGCTTTATGGTGTCTAAACAGCATACAAATGGGCTGTTACGCAAGGTAGACAACCTTTTCAGAACTTTCATCATAAGCAGTTAGAGTAAAGCTGAGCAAAATGGTGCGCAAGTTTTATTTAATCTACTACTTCACTATTTTATTTATCTACATGCATTTATCGTTCCGACATTTGGATGGGTATAATAAAATATTGCTGGCAAGCAGAAAATGGCCAGTAATTGGAGCCAAAATTCCTCTGTGCTTGAGTGCAAGGGGCTTATTTCAGAAATCTGCAGGAATAGCACATATATAATTATTCAGCATAAGAAATAGAGACAAAAACTGTATAATTATGAATTCATTTATGCATACTTCTATTTTACAGAGATCGAGCACGAGGACAATCTTGGTCAGTCCGTGATGTCTGGGACGCATGACGGGTGCAGACTCAAGATTGCACAGATGCAGCAGCGGATCTTGAGTTTGGAAGCTGACAACATGCGCCTCCAAGTGGAGCTACAGCACCACGAGACACGGCGGCTATCGGTTGACTTCATCAGACATGACCCCAAGCAGTGCATTTATTACACTGGGCTGCCCGAGTTTGCTGTATTTGAAGCAGCATACGATTTTTTTGCACCTCGGGCATCCCAGATGCAATACTGGTCGAGCGGTCGAAAGAGTAGCGGGATGAAAGGCCGCCCCCGGGAGTTGGAGCTCATTGAGGAATTCTTCATGGTACTTACTAGGCTGAGAACGGGAATGGCTGGCAGGGAAATGGCCCGCAATTTTGGAGTACATGAAGCGACGGTGAGCAGGCTGTTTACAACCTGGATAAACTTCCTGCAGCGAGAGTTGAGTACACTGACACGGCTTCCATCTCTGCACGAAATTCAGATGTATTTGCCTCATGCCTTTCGCTACTTCGTAAACACAAGAATAGTTCTCGACGGAACGGAGGTGCGCATCCAGAGGCCCTCTTCCCTGGCTGCCCAGAGGCATACTTTTTCACCTTATAAGCATTTTAATACTTATAAGGCGGTCATTGGCTGTACCGCTGATGGCTACGTTTCATATGTTTCCAAGTTATGGGGAGGGTCAGTTTCAGACAGGCTGATTGTAGAGGAGAGTGGGTTGTTAGGGCTATTGGAGTCAGGTGATGCCATTATGGTGGATAAGGGTTTCAAGCTTAATAACATACCAGCAGGGGTTCAGGTGCACATCCCTGCTTTCAGAAAGCCGCAAGAGCCGCAAATGCCAGAGGAGGACGTTGCGCACTCCCGCCGGGTGGCTAGTGCCAGAGTAATTGTTGAGCGTGTGATTGGGAGGGTAAAACAGTTTCACATTTTGGATCGTCCGTTCCCCATCACAATGATCGGCATTGCTAACCAGGTCTTTCAAGTTTGTTGTTTCTTAAGCAATTTCCGGGAGCCACTGACTAGGGATGACTAGTGTCACAGTCAAAACATGTAAACTTCCCTGTGTAAATACTTTAAGGCAATGAAAAATTTTGCGAAAAAACAAATCACTTGCACGACTTATTTAGCATGCACGCTGAATGATGCATGTTAAATGGATGCGAAACAAGATTTTGGATCTCGTAAAACAAGCCAGGTGCAATAGGCGGGACATTACAAACCCCCATAACATCACTCGTACCGCAATATTTCGAACGGATGGCCGTATTTTTAGGAAAGAAGGGAGCGATTGAACGACGAAGGCAGGCAAGGCCTGTCATGTTCAGATCCTCATTCCCCCTCGAGGAGGTAAACCGAACCGAGGAGCAGAGAAGGACGTCCGTTTTCTCTTGTTCTCAACCGTTCCCAGAGAATGGCTACGTCGCATTCTTTGCTCAGTCCTGCCCTTTTTGTCCAAAAACACGGCCATCGGTTCGAGATATTGCTGTACGAGTGATGTTTTGGCGTTCGTAGCGTCCTGTGAACACTTCTGCGGCCTTATTTTGTGAAATCCGAATTTTGGTTCAGCATTCCTTGAAAGACCCTGTGTTAGTAGTCATTGTGCAATCACTAAATTGTTCCTCTATGATGTGGACCAGTGTCACCACGGCAAAGCCAGTCCGACCACTCTCTAAACATTAATCTACGACTACCGTACTTCGAGTTTTTCACAACTTTGCACCAGGCCCATCCGGTATGATGTATTTATCTTTTTTTAATCATGTTATGAGGCAATCAATTGGCTGCTTACATTATAACTTCATCACTCTGTCCAACCACGTTAGACCTATTGTTTGTGGCACTTTCCCGATTTTAGCAATCATATTTACTAGAACATACATAATTTCTGAATGTAGGCCGACCCTTGTATTAAAGAAAAAGAAATATCTGAGGCGAAATACAAACTAATTAAATATAAACGGACAGTCTGGCCACATCAAGCTTCCTACCACTGCTCTGCGCACACATAAAGCTTCACCGCTTTGCATCTGTGTGCTTGGTAGAAGTAGCCGACTCGCGTGGCATACCTCAAACAGCTTTATCCTCTCCGAAATTTTGCTCACTATTACAGGTCTCTCATTGTTGCAAATATATTTCTCATTAACACGTGATTGTTGATTATATGTAAGCCTGAAGTTATCTGGAGATGTGTGCTTTGTTGGAATAGGTTACTGATGACCAGAGTTGGAAGTTTCCTAGACTTGGACACCTTGGCTTTGAGCAGGCACGTGCGATTTTTTGTTGTATAAACAGTTGAAAGAAATGTAAATATGTTTGATAGCCTGTTCCAACTAACCTTGTATACCTGTTTGCCAGCACATTAGGGGCTGTTGATTTCAATAAAATACAAGCGCTAGCTTCGAGACCTGGTTTTCTTTTATTGCGTATTCATCAAGACATGGCAGATTCCTGTCGGGACGAGGTTGGCGTAAACAAAGCGTTTAATTCGAGTTAACGATACGTTACATGGTTACATGAGCCCGCACGTCAAGTCTTCGTGCGCCCGTCGTGTTGGCGTTCTCCGACCCAGACTCTCGCACTCGGCCCTCTCGCTGGCTTCTTTGTCGTCTGGCTTGTGGCACCCTCTTCGTGCTGTGGCTCTCACGACACCCCCCTTTCTTTGAAGACTCCCAGCACCTACAGGTTGAGGCGGCTTGGAGGTCTTGATTTTCGTCCACCTCTCGTGACGGTTATTCCAGGCTGCCAAGGTTGCAGATGTCTGCTCGTGCAATGAGTGATGCCATTGGCTGTGTTCACCGCATATGACCTAGGAGACTGCGTTGATTGCAGCACTGTCCCACTTGTGGCTGCTCCTGACAGAATTTGCACAGCTGTATGTGGAGGTATATGGTCTCGTTCTTTGACCCTATGACGGGCATCGTAATGTGCACTCAGCTTTGCTTTGTATGCACGATCCTTTTTCCGAAAGGGCTCGTTGTTCCACCGAGGCTGGAACGCTTTGGACACAGCTGGAACATTTGTCCGTATCTTTCTTCCCATCATGAGTTCCGCAGGGGAGTATCCTTCAGTTGCAGGGGTATCCCGATGAGCAAGCAGCGCCTTGTGGATGTTCGGCGACTTTTTAAGCAGCTGCTTTGCCGTCTGTATGGTCCTTTCCACCGCCCCATTGCTCTGAGGATAATATGGGCTACTTGTTACATGGCGTGATCCCCACTCCTTCGCAAACCTTTCGAATTCGGCAGAAGCGAATTGGGGCCCATTGTCTGATCGAATGATGGCGGGTGCTCCAAAATGGGCAAACATCTCGCTCAGTTCCAGTGTGATGTCTTGGGTTGTTGTCTTTCTTAATTTCTCAAGTTCAAAGAACCTCGAGAAATAATCTACCACTACAAGGTAGTTCTCGCCACTTTCGTTAAAGAGGTCCGCGCCTACAACTTCCCATGGGTGATTCGGGAGTGGAGTGTGTAGTAGGGGCTCTGCGCCAGGCTTTCGGTGTGTCTGACACACTGGACATCTTGAAACAGTCTTCAACACTCCTGCTGATGCCAGGCCACCAAACTGATTGATTGGCCCGAGCTCTGCAACGACCTACGCCCTGATGACCCGTGTGCAGGCTTTCCAGCACCTCGTCCTGCATGCTTGGCGGGATGACGATGCGACTTCCCTTGAGGAGAAGTTCTTCAACTACCGTGAGCTCTTGGGACACACTGGCATATTTCTGTACTGCTAGTGGCAGTGACACGCCCTTGGGCCACGTCGTTGAACAATAGTTCCCAACAGTCACGATAGTTGGATCTCGCTTTTGTTCTTCTTTGATCCTCTCCAGCATGTTGGTGGAGGCCGGTAGGAGTTCTACGCTGAGTAGCTCGTATTCTGTCAAAGCTACTTCGAGACTTCTTGGACTGCTGCTGTCCGTTGTTGCTTGCGGCTTCCGTGAGAGTACGTCAGCTGTATGGATCTCCTTGCGGGAATATGGGAGATTGTGTAGTCAAATTCCAGCAGTCTCATTCGCAGACGCTGCAATCATGGACTCGGCTCGTCTATGCGCTTTGATGACAACAGAGGCATGAGCGGCTTATGGTCGGTCTCTATGTGGAATTGCAGACCGAGCAAGTACTGGCGGAAATGCTCGCATGCCCATGCGATTCCCAGCGTCTCCTTTTCTATCTGGGCGTAGCGTTGTTCAGTTTCTGTGAGTGACTGTGATGCGTAGGCAACAGGGAGTCGCTTTCCGGACATCTCCTGAAGGAGGACAGCCCCAAGGCCGTACAAGGATGCATCCGCTGAGACTGTGAGATGACTTCGAGGATCGTAGTGTACCGGTGTGGTCGTCAGTGCTTCTTTGACGGAGTCGAAACTTTTTTGTTGAGGCTCTCCCCAGCACCAATCAGCGTCATGGTGAAGCAAATCGCAAAGCGGTTTCGTGAGTTGAGAGAGTCCAGGGAGAAATTTAGCCAGGTGGTTTGCCATACCCAGGAACGACCTGACCTCCGATACATCTCCTGGCGGTGTCAGTTGAGCGAGAGCCTTGATCTTTACTGGATCCGCACTGACCCCGTTGGCCGAGACGACATGTCCGAGGAATTCTGCAGACTGTTTGCGAAGAACGCATTTGTCCTTGTTGAGAGTTATGCCCGCATCTTGCAGGCGCTTGAGTACCTAATGCAAGTGTGAGTCACGTTCTTCTCTCGTTCTTCCAAACACGATGATGTCGTCTTGAAGGCAAGCTTGACCTTCGAGACCTTCGAGTACTGTTAGCATCTCACGCTGGAAGAACTCGGGTGCAGTGGAGATACCGAATGGTAGTCGGAGGAACTGAAATCTACCACATGGCGTCAAGAAGGTTGTATACTCCCGTGATTCTGCTGCCAGTGGGGCTTGCCAGTAGCCCGCTCTGGCGTCGAGTTTGCTGAACCAGGTTGCTCCAGCCAGTTTTCCAAGGCATTCGTCGACAGTTGGCATTAAGACTCATTCCCTCAGGATGCAGCTGTTCAGGCCACTGTAATTGACACAGATGCGTAGTTCTCCGTTTTTCTTTCTGGCCACAACCATCGGTGCACACCACTCAGTTGCGTGGTCTACCTTTGCGATGACTCCGAGGCTCGCCATCCGCTCCAGCTCCTGCTTGACACTTGGAAGAGGGACGCGCCTCGGGTACGTTACCGCATACGGTTTGGCGTTGGGGTGCAGAGCTACCTTGTACTCGGTGTTTAGTAGTCCGAGACCCGCAGTCAGCTTGGGGTAGTCACTGAAGATGTCTGCTGTGTGTGTCGTCTTCGTCTACCTCGGATCCCTCGACTACAGACAGGCTGCACAGGACTTGCAGAGACTTGATTGCTGGATGGCCAAGAAGCGCGTCGTGAAGGTTGTCCACTACGAACACCTGCTCCTGGCACGATCGTCCATTCCACCTCAGGGTCGCCTTGAACTGTCCCACGGTGGGAATCTTGGCTCGGCCGGGCCCCAGGAGTGCCTTCGTAGGTCTGCTGAGTGGTCCCATGAGTGACTTGTTGTAGACCCTGGACGGGATGGCCGTGACGTCAGCTCCCGTGTCCACCTTGAACTCTACGGGCGAGCCGTTGACGCAAGCTGTGATCCGCCAGTGTTCTGATCCGAGTTGACTTGTTACTTTACCCAGGTAAACCTCTTCGAGTGCGGCGTGGCGCTGACTCTGGCTGTCTTGAGTTTTCTTCTTTGTGGACAGGCACATTGACACGAAGTGTCCTTTTTTTCCACACCCATTGCATGTCTTGTCGGCAGCAGGACACTTGGCACGCAAGTGTGGGCGCGTGGAGCCACACCATCTGCAAGCTTGGTTCTGTTCTTTGTTGCGGACTGGTAGCTGCTTCTTCTTTTTGGCCCGCTGCGCGGAGAAGTGAAGCTCGTCTACGATCGCGTTCGGCTGTGCTTGTGGTCGCAGTTCCTTGAGTTGCTGCTTCACAGTTTCCGAATTTCGAGCCTTGGAGATCGCCGTCTCCAACGTTAGTTCAGGGTTGAGCTGAAGCTGCTCAATCAGCTTGACGTCGACGAGTCCCACGACGAGTCGGTCTCTAATTAGCTCTTCTTTTAAGTCGCCGTATGCACATACCTCTGCCAGCTTGTAGAGATCTGTCACAAAGGCGTCGACCGTTTCGTGCGCTTCCTGCACACGCCTGTTGAACTTTAAACGTTCGTAGATGACATTCGTCCGAGGGACAAAGTGTCTGCCGAAGGCGGTTGTCACTGCATCGTAGTCGTGTTTCTGGGCATCAGTCAGTTTCAGCGACGCCAGGACATCTTCTGCTTCGCGTCCCATAGCGTAAACTAACGTGTTCACTTGGGTTTCCCCGTCTTGTTTTTTCAACCCAGAAATGACCCGGTATCTCTCCCATCGGGTGAACCAACGCTTCCAATCATCGGGACGTCGAAAATCCAACTTTTCTGGCAACTCAGCGACGTTGAGCGACGTTGGTTGTTGTGCAGCTTGTTGCCCAGTGGCCATCGCTTACCGGTCGGCGTGGTCGTTGCAGACGTACCTTGGCGTGGCGATGCAAAGTTTCGGATTCCGAGCGTTCCGCCGACGTACCTTGTCGTGGCGACGCAAAGTTTCGGATTCCAAGCGTGGCGGTGCAAAGTTTCGGATTCCGAGCGTTCCCGTGCCTTGCCTCCCCGGAGCGGTTGCTGTTGTAGCTAGTTGACTTGTCTTCCACAGCATCCCACCGCTGCCACCATGTCGGGACGAGGTTGGCGTAAACGAAGCGTTTAATTCGAGTTAACGATACCTTACATGGTTACATGAGCAGTGAGCCCGCACATCAGTCTCCGTGCGTCCGTCGTGTTGGCGTTCTCCGACCCATACTCTCGCACTCAGCCCTCTCGCTGGCTTCTTTGTCGTCTGGCTTGTGGCGCCCTCTTCGTGCTGTGGCTCTCACGACAATTCCGACACACACAAGGGCCGTTTTGCATTTGTGGTCATTCAGTCTCCACTTCACTTCAGTTTTCTGAATGTTTTCTTTAAGCCAGGACCGTCCTCCACCCTGTAGGTTCCCTCACGAAACTTCTTGAAGGAGACATACTTTCCCCTAGCCAGGTCCTTGTGTCGCTGGATGCGTTTAGTGATCACCTCGGGGAACAGAGCATGCTCGGCAAAATACAGCAAGCCAGGTAGCAGCTCCTTACTGACAAACTCCTCGTCTAGGGTGATTGTCTCAATGTGCGTCGAATTGGCGTCAGTGGTGTTGTTCGTCCAGAAAACAAAATCGCACCACCTGTGCCCAGTCACCATCATTTGTCCTTGCACCTGGTAGTAGAACGCGTGCTTGTGCTTCAGTTGCACGGTTCCGTCGATCAACTCGCAGCAGAACTTCTCGTCTCCGCAGGCCTCCTCGGGTGTTAACCCAATCTTCGAGATGGGACACTTCAC